GGGCAGCTGCCGCTATTGAGTGGCCATACGTATGTGCATTCATTAATTCATCCATCCACTACTCATTTTGGCGTATTTTTCCCACACAGCACTGTCGTACACTTGGTGTGGTGACTTGCATGGTGACGTCTTGTGTACGTACGCTGAGAGAGGAAGGTGTCGACGTATTCTCATTCATGCGCATGTCAACCTTCACTCGCATCATTCCATCAGTCGCTCTGATGTACACTGTGTGTGTGCGTGTGTGTGTGTGTGTGTGTTCCATTCTGTGCTCCATAGAATGAGCCCCCGAGAAGGGCCGAGCTGCACAGCCAAATTCACAGGGGACGGATAGTACAGGTGTGTCTATGAGACGTTCACGTGACACACTGCAATGAGCGAGGGTGTGAGCGAGGCGTGTCGCTTTTGTGTGCGGGTGCGTGTGCGGATGCGTGTGCGTACCTTTTGTTTTGTGTGTGTGTGGCTGCGAGCGTGTCAGTCTGCTTCGAAGCAAGCGAGTCGCTGATGAGTTGACCGATGTGTCACACACACGTCCACATATTTTTGGATGATAGAGGAAGGGGTGGATGAGACAGCGGATTGGCCTCTGTGTGTGTGTCCCATCAGTTTTTGGCCTCTGATGGGATGGATGCTCTCTTAAACAATCAAACAATTGAATCAACTTGCGCGGCTCACACTTCCGAGAGCAAATTTACAAAGTCCCGCACAGCCGTTACGGTGGGGAATTTTTTGACGGCAAGTGGACTTCTCGCGACAAGCTCCCCCTATGCAGCATGGGGCATTCTCGCCTCGCCGTGTCTTCCCTTTTTTCGGCCCATCTGCTGTTCGCAGTCGTATGTGGCATCGCAATCTTCTACACCTCTTTCATCGCTATGGGGTCGACTCGCGCCCAAGAGCAGCTTCGCTTGCCGACAGTGTCATTCCAGACACCGCAGCATGCTCACTGGAGGCTGATCTGGCCCAATTCAGGGAGAAGAATCTCCTGCCATTGATCAAGACCAACACGTCATCCTCTCAGCAATTCTACTGCGTGCGGGAGTCGAGCACACCAAGTGCTGTCAAGGGATGCGGCGAATGCAGCGGCCCGCCAAGTGTTGCTCTCCTCTTCCTGGTGAAAGACAACGTGCCGCTGGCTGCCCTTTGGGAAGAATGGCTCGCTTTGTCGATGGACAGGCGTCGTTTTACAGTCTACATGCACATACAGGAGGGTGCGAGTGAGCCGCCCAGTAGCCTTAGAGGAGCTACCTCAGTCGATAAAGTCGAGACGAGCTCTGGCAACTTTATTCTCGCGGAGAACGCCTTGTGGAAGGCCGCTCTTCGCGACCCGTGCAACCAGATGATGGTGCTGGTGTCTGTCTCGCACATTCCAGTGAGCCATCCTGATGTGGTGTATGACGTCCTCTTCCGACACAGAGTGAGAGAGACGGGCGGCCTGCCAACCAGCAGAATATGGTACGCAGAGTGTGAATATATCGCACAGCTGCATGCTCATTGCGTGCCTTTCTCTGTGCAGTTATGCGAAGGCTAAACCTTTCGAAATGGAAAACAACGAATCGGATCGCAGCCCAGCAGATAGAGAGAGCAAGTCTCCCTCTTGTCAAGATGCGGATAGCACTGTCGGATACGGTAAGCATTGCAGCAACAGAGGTACTCGTGCATTTCTGCTGTGCACCTTTGTGCAGATCTCAAACACCACCAGTGGCGAAGCTACAATCGGTACCATGCTTCGATCGTCGCCGCACAGGGCCTCACTTATCCGTACGACGGCTTGCCTTGGCGGAGGCCCCGAGGGCCATTTTCAGGACCGGATGAATGGTTTGGACATCATGTTCTCAGGAGATCACTTGGGAATTCAGAGATATGGAAGCAGGTACGGGACGACAGCATTAATCGAAGTATCACATCGACAGTTCGACAGTATGTTTGCCTGCCCATGCAGGTGAACGGTGGCTTGCGAACCAATCACACCGACCGGTGTGATGACGAAATCCTCACCGAGTTCTGTGATACGAAGACCTGCTGGGCAGGACCCGAGGATGGGTGCGGCTACGGCATGGGGCGCCGCTGTTCTCCCAGCGGCCCGCTTTGCTTCTCTTCTCTTAATCTGACCAAACTGACGGAGACTATCTCTTCCAGGCACCCGCTCTTTTTCAGGAAAGTCACGCCAGATGCAACGCTTTTCGATGAGGGTGGAAGAGAGGTGGGTAGGGTGACTGACTTGCTAGTACCACTCATTCGAAACTACAGCAGGCCCGTGTCAGTCACGAGTATATGAGCATGTGTGTGTTGTCTCCTGTCTCTTTTTCCGATTTACTGTCTTTCTGCCGGCTAGTGCTAGCATTCCCTTGCACTGTCCTGGGTGGTTGATTCGTCGTATGTCTGATTGTATTGGTGTGATGGCGGTCGATGAGAGGAAAGATGGATTGAGTGACTATGGTGTTCATATCGTAATTCACACGGTACAGTAGGGCTGTGTCGTAGGTAGAAAATTAAATGGAGTTAGGACGATATGGTGTTTTTTCTCAGTCGCATGGTGCCGTGCCTTGCTGCAATTGCTTCCTTCCTGCCGTGATGTCCGGCGAATTCAGTGTTGTCTCTATGCGCATTGTCTGCATCGGCCTGCCTTGCTGTCTGCCATCGACTGATCGGTGATGGCTGCGAAGTGTGCATGACTGAGGGAATGACGAGTGTACGGTCTGCGGCATTTTCCGCCGCATCGGTTGGTGCTGTATCGTTGGTTGGTGGTGTGGCGTGTGTCTCACACGTGCAGATGATGCAATATGTGCCATCTGTCCAACAAGTACGGACGCACAGCCGATGCATGGACCGGTGCTATGGCGTCTGTAATTCGTTGTCATGTGAAAGGACTTTTTCTCAGGTGAGAACAGACTTCAGCGTGCGCTCGTGTGATCGCTCTGCGCTGCTGTGTAGAGGTCTCACACATCAGTGTAATGATAGTGATCGGACGTGTGCCCGTGGATAAGGTATGAACGAACGAATCACTCTGTCATTCTCTCGAGTCACATAAGTGTGTGCTTGATTGTCAGTCAATCAATGAATTGATTCAATTCATTCATTCAGTGAATCACTGCATCACTACAGACAACCCTCCTCGGTTGCTTCGCTTGGGAGACGGCCGTGATCTTGGCCTGACTGGCCACGAGGTGGCCGGCCATGGGTGTCTCACATCACCCATACGTGGTCACCATAGCCGCCCACCCTGTGTCGGCTCCACCGCTGATCAAGCCGATGGGCAGGAGACAATACATACAATATACGTATACGTGCCTGAATGTGCGTATGTAAGTATATCGGTATATACGTACGTGTGGATAAATGAATGACGCGTACGCACGTGACAAACTTGCGGCTGTGCGAGTTTGTCACTCTGCTGCCTTGGTCGTGCAGAATGCTCTTCCATGTACATCGTTTAAACTCGCCAAGCGAGTCGTCGCGAGAAAAACCAAACACGCACTCTGGGCAGAGCTCGTATTGCATTCACTGAGATGGCAATCCAGACAGTCAGCACATGCAAAAGAAAGCAAACACATACTGAATGCACATCACATCCGCTACTTACAGGCCGGCTTAGATTCTGTGTGCATTCATCCATCCTATACGCTGGCTTGCACGGACACCAGCGGGTGAGACAGGAAGGGAATGCATCGGAAAAATACATCCACACAGACGCGCGGCGGCGAGCTGTCTAATTCAACACATGCGCCATGCAACCAACACTCCCTCGGTTTAGGGATAGAACTACGTGTCGTAGGCCCTCTGCGCATCCAGGCCAACCAATGTGTCTGGAAACACACACGGCGCGAACAGCGGATGGCCGCGAACGTCACCCACCATCCCTAAACACACACAGGCCGTGCATATACACGCAGTTCTATCCGTGTCTCTTGATGTCATCTGTCCTTCGGTATGTCTCACCGCTCCCGGCTGTCCTCTGTATGAAATCGATCTTTATCTCGTCAGTGAGACACTGCCGTGTCATGGCGCGCAGTGTGCTTCTGGCGGTGGTGCTCCCAGGCGCATTCCAAAGCGCCTTCCGGCTGTAGTAGTCTTGGAGCCGAAGCCTCTCTCTCACCGCCGCAGGATCATCATACACCTCTTGCAGTATGGGAGTGAGGGATTCGCGAGGGGACCGAACGAACTCAGGGCCGTCAATCGCATACGTGAAGTTCCTATACGCATACATTCATACACAACAGGCATTGACAGACCAGTGCGCATGAAGGCTGCTTTCTTTCTCCTCCTTTCTGTTTTCCAACCCACCACACCCACCTCCACGGAATCTCGCATTGGAATGGGAGCCAAGTCGTGAACGTTTTTTCTATTTCGGTGACCAGCACATTCAATGTCCGCGTCCACAGCCCGTCGAATAACCGGTTGCTGGTCACGTCGTCGCCTCGAAAGCAGAGATTGAGCTTCGAGTTGCCCAGCCGATGCAGAAACGTGGCCGCCGCATAGCGGCCACGATCTGTTCGCTTGTCACTCTGCCGACCAGCCCCTTTTTCTTTCTTCGGAGCCATCCGCCCATTGCACCGCTCAAATTTGCCCATCTTTCCGCTGAAGACCTCCTTATTGATGCCGTCTTTGCGCGGGCAGGAAGGAATTGGCTCCCTTCGCTCCTTGCCGTCTGCGTCCAGCACTTGATAGGTCATGGGCTTGGACGAGGAGACCAGGACGTTGGAGCTTGTGTTGGGCCTGAATCGCCAGCCAGCGAGGTGCTGCAGCCCCAGACGGCGGTAGCGATATGCATGCCTTGTGTCCGCTTGACCTACATCGATGACGCAACACGAGACCACATGCATCCACATAAGAGAGGTCCATCCATCCCGCCCACTGCTCGCTCACCCTGAAAGAAAAGGTTGTAGTCTCTCGCGAACCAGTCGCGTCGCGACGGGGGGTCGAGTGCGGTGTCCAGACGGTCGTCCTCGAAGACGTCTTCAGGGGCAATAAAGCCGCGCTCCAGCAGGCTCTCCTTCTCAAAGGGCTCGTAGGCCTTCTGCATGTAGGTCATGGCAGAACTATACAGACAGACACACACACACGCAAGTCACTCGATTCAATCACTCGTGCCACCCAGGCTGGCCTGTCTATCTGTCGACTCACGTGTGTGGCACGTTGACACCGCACTGCCATGGCCTGTTCTCTGCAGACAAACAGACAAGGGCACTTGATGCATGGCACAAACCGAATCCATCCATTAGCTACTTACTGTCCAATGTGAGGGTGCGGCCCCACGTGATGTTCCCGACAAAGGAATGAAAGGTCGATCCAAAAACCTTCTTCATGGATCCTCTCATTCGCCAGTCTGTCGCCTATATGGCAGCCATACGCAGCGTTGACACGATTTCATATGCGTGCTTGGCCTTCCTTACGATAACGATATGATCCAGCCCGCCATGTCGGTAATAGTAGGGCATTGCCGTGATCTGAATGAATCATGGGACGACCGAGTCGAGAGGAAACGATTCGCGTAATGTGTGCCCATCTGCTTACCTCATGAACGGCGCGAGTGGCCAGTTCGTGGGTTTGGTTTCGTTTGAGACCCTTGCAAACCTGATCCAACAGAAGCACTGCAACACAAAAATGCATTGAAGAGGCCCCTCGATTGCTTCTCTGCCCAACACCCATGCACCTGGATAGATGGGGAGGACATACACGAGCGCCTGGTCAGGATCGAATGTGCGCCACGTATCGTTCCACAGCTGATCCAGCCAGAAGATCTCCCCTGTATTATCACACACACACGACAGATTGATGTGACGCACACCGGCGATCAGTCCTACCTATCTTCTTCTTGATCATAGACTTCACATTGGCCGGCCACGTCCCTTCGAGGATTGCCCTTGCTGGCACCTGGCAACGGTTGTACATTTCCATCAGGGAGGGAGTTTCGTAGACCTGCCGTACGTGAGTGTTATGCTCACAATGCATGCCATCACTCGCTCGTTGGTCCTGTCGGTCTGTCTGCTTACGTAAAAGGGCACGTCCATCTTGCTCTCCAGCGCTTCAAGGTCAGAGAAGTCCTCTCTCTCCTCCCGTTCTCCTGCTGCTGAGGTAGCGTCCGTCGTGCCTCCGCTTCTTACGCTCCGAAGGAGTTTGTGCAGGGACGCTGAAATCGCTGTCTTGTGTAGGGACGCTGGGTAGAGCTCAAGGGCGTCGAGAGCGAAGAGGCCGACGCCAAAAACGGCGAGAGGAATGAGGATGAATGGCCGCGTCAGAACAGCCATTTTGACTTTCACCTGCTTCGAGTACTAGGCTCGATGAGCTGGCGATGTTCAGGTGAGTCCATGCACCGTTCGTGAGCGGCCGCAACGAAGCCGATCCAAGCCGTTAGCGTAAATGCGTGTGTTTGCAAATGCCACAAGCAATAATTTCATTCATCCCATCGCCGTCAGTTAGTCAGGAGGCCACAGACATTCACTCACTCATGATTGATCAATTGCTGCGTGGCTCATCCAGGAGGCGCACAGCATGTTACAGATATAAATACAGGAGCCGCCCCGCCCCGCCCAACCAATAGCTGACACTAGGCACCGCATACATCGACACGTGCAACACTAGCCCACTGCTCCGTGGCGACCTTTCGCCCTAGTGCATGACATGCAGCTGATGATGCGGCAGTGCCGGGAAAGGCTCCTCATCATCGTCGCCAGCCATCATCTCGTCCGCTGCCGCCATGCCATGATGATATTGTCCGGCCACTCCATCGTCCACGTCCATCGCCGCACCACTCGCAGGCATATGCTCTCTGGCGCTGGCGTGTGGGCCCTCCATCGTGTCGTGGTGGGGGGCGAGGCTGTTCAGGTGATGGTCCGACGCCATGCCCGCGCTCTCAACAGCAGCGGCAGGTGGGGGAGGGGGAGGGGGAGGGGTGCTGGGCGGCACAGCAGCAGCAGCCTTGGCGCGTTTGGCTGGGCGCCTGTCTCTGGCCTTGGCGGAGCTCCTTTCGCGCTTGCTGCCCCCTTTGGCCTTCCTCTTGGCCTGTTTCTTGCCCGTCGCCTCAGCCATAGCAGACGGCTCTGCCTCCGCAGCACCACCCGCCCCGCCACTCGACGCTGCCTCTTGCTGGGCAAACTGCACTTTCTTGGCCGGCTGCCGTCTGCGTGCCTTCTTGCTGTTGTTCCACAGATGGCGGATGAGGCTCCTGACGGGGGGGTTGCGCAGCACGTCTGTGCGGAAGGGGACCTTCCTCGCAGGCACAATGTCAGGTCTGAATGGGTCGGGGATGATCCACCAGGACGGCGCAGTGCCACCACTCCCGCCCAGCTCGACGTCATAGGGCAGCCGGCGCACAGTGACGGTCTCGGGGTCGAAGTTCTCGACGGTGCGCCCGTCGGCCAGGCGATGGAGGTCCAGTGTCGACCCCTTGCCGGACCGCAATCCCATGCGGCCCTCCTTCCGATGCAGGGCCATCACGATGGCATCACACGAGGGGCCTGACGCGGCAAATGGCAGGTTGATGACGGCACCGGGGTACAGATCGCGGTCTGGCTCTGCGTCGCGGGGGCGGAGACGAAAGTGCGACTCGGGAGCCGTCTTGACTGGAACTGAATCATGACAGGCAGACGAGAAGAATCGATGAGGGCATTCATTCGCTTCTGCCTGCCTGCCTGGCTGCTGGTGGTCTCTGTCGACTTACCCGACGGTTCGATGAAGTGCTGTGTCGGGAGCGTGACGGATGTGGCCGTGCTGTCCAGCCTCACGGCCACATCGGTCGGCTCCCCATTTCCCCGCTGCACCATGCCCTCCACGGTGCCGTCCTCCCAGCCGGTCTCCCACCCACCCTCGCCACTCATCACCGCCACCTGCACACTCTCACCCACCTTCAACACGGGCAGGTCCTCGTCACAAAGTGAGTCTCCCTGTTGCCGCGCCGGCCGTGTGTGGCCGTCGCCGGGGTCGTAGATGGACAGCCGCACGGCCGATCTTGGGAAGTCAGAGAGGTCCGCCTCTTCCTCCGAGTCGCGATCGACCTCCAGCAGGTCCTCCTTGCCGCTCGGAACGAGCCGTAGTGGCCTCACGCGCAGCTGCCGCACCCAGCGGGCCGGGTGGCTCAACGGCTCCAGGACCTCCTGAGGCAGAGGGGCAGATGCTGCCGCCGCCACAGCGGCAGCCGCCTGGTGCTCCTGCTCCCGCTGTGGTTGCTGCTGCTGCGCGTCTGGCTCTTGGTCTTGCTCTTGCTCGACGTCTGCTTTCTCCTCATCGGTTTCTTCCTTCTTGACGATGACCGGCGGTCTCCTGCTCTGCTCGTGCTTGATTGTGGTGGTGGTCATGACGAATGGCTGGACGGGCTCGCCGGGGTGGGAGGGGCGTCTGCTGCTGACGGCGTAGCGGACGGGCGGAGGGCTGCCGGCCGGATGCATCACGCTCTGAAGCCGAAAACGGTCCTTGCACCGCTCGTGAACACTCCACACCTGCAACAACACGCAGAGAAACACAGAGACATCTGTGTCGTCCTCAGTGCCCGTCATAGATCTGGCTCTCCTCCTGTGTGACTGACCTCTCTGTCTTCGGGCGGCAGCTGTCTCCACTCCTCGCCGAGCATTCTTGCGAAGAACTGCGGCTCCCCCACCCGCTCAGGGAACCGCCGCATCAGGAACGGACGACGCTCGAGAGCAAAGCAGTTGTACGCCGTCAGATTCTGCAACTTGGACTCCTGCACGACACACAGGTTGAAGCAAGGATACACGTGAATAATGGGAGCACCTGCCTGACATCGGTCTTTCCTTTCTCTCCCTCACATCACCTTCTGTGTCCGTGTTCTGTGTGTGGACGGCGTGTCGTCCCCGAAACCCTCGGCCGCGGCCTCGTCGACCCACACCTGCCGCTGCTTCTTCCACGCCTCCGCGCGCAGCGGCACCCCCTGGGCGTTGTAAAACGTCTGCTCCATCCTGCTCTCCACGCGGCTGCCCGCGTCACGCCCCTTGATCTCCGCATCGTCCACCAACAGCCGCTCGTACTTGTCGGTGTCCTTGTCGTCGATCGCTGGGTGCTGCACGAACAGCACCGGGCCGCTGCGGCTGTCGCGTCGTAGAATCCACTTGTGGAGTTCGAAGAAGTTGTTAGGGATGGGTGCGATGCGCTTGAGAATGACCTCCTTCTCGTGCAGACGGTGCAGGCGGCCGTCGCGCAGGAGGGTGTTGACGGTGTCCTCGGCGGTCTGCCAGTCGGAGTCGCCCACCGGCACGTACACCTGCTGCTCCTGATGGAAAAAGGAGATGGACAGGCAGGCAGAGCATGGGGCCGGCATTCTCTGCCCTGTCCCTGTCTGGTATCTCTTGTATGTGTGTGTCGATGGTCACCTGGAGGATCTCTCTGACGCGCTGCTGTGCCTTGCGGCGTCGAAGTGCATCAACCATGTTGCCTGAGAGAGAGAGAGAGAGAGAGAGAGAATGAAGGAATGAAGGAATGAAGGGACAGCAGAGAGAACGTGAAGGCTGGCCTCCTTGCTGTGTCTGCCTCTGTTGAGCGGTCACACGCACCAGGGTCCTGGAGCAGTTTCTCCCTTCTCTTCATTTCGTCCTCGAGGAACTTCTGCTCCGCCATCCGCTGCTTGTCCAAAATCAAACCGGGCGACAGAGGGTCGATGCGAATCGAGCTGACACACGCACACACAACGGGGGCAGGGGAAGGAATGAACCGACCTCCGTCAATTGGCTCGTCTGTCTCGGTGAGTGAAGCGCTCACAATGGTGGTGCGGATGCATCGTCATCGGGCAGTGACGGCCCCGCAGACGAAGGACGAGAAGACTGCACCACACCTGAACCACACACAAGAACACCACCTGCCTTTGCACCCCACCCGACACTCGTCTCTCTCTCTCTGACTGACCGGGCGTGTCGATCCCATTCCTGGCCCCTCCTCCCTCCCGCACAGCGAGCGGATGCATGTGCAGGTGCGCAGTGCGGGCAGCGGGGTGTGGATGACGGGCATGCGGCAGGCCACCCGGTGCACGGATCACCATATGTGGAGGCCGCACAAACGCCTGCATCATTGCGGGATGGTGCAGTGCTGCCGCCGGGAAGGGCGGCATCGGGCGATGCGCCACGGGTGGCTTGGGGGGCACTGCCAGTGGGGGTGGTCTTGAGGGGGAGAGGGACGGGTGGGATGCGTGGTCGATGGGCAGACTCATCGCAATGCACCGCACGCACAGACCGACTATCTGGCCTGAATGAACAAACGACCACACACGGACAGACAGAATGACGAAGCCACTCGAGTCATGCAATCTGCTCTCCATCAGGCAGGTGTCCAGTGTGCTCTCACTCTCTCCCTTCCCTCCCTCCCAGATGTGCCAACTCACCTCTCCTGATAGCTTGACTATATTGCCTTCAAACACACGGCGGCGGCGCCGTGCCAATCCTCAACACACAGCTCTCTCCACTCCCAACGGACACACGCGCCTCTACCTGCCAGCAAAGGCAGGCACCAACATGCAGATCTGTCCAGATCCCGAACCCACAATGACCGTCATTTGTTCCAGGTACCTACCGGAAGGCGAGACGCATCGCTTGGCCGTGTGAGTAGTGACGGTTTGGGTGGGTTGGGATGTCCAAACAGGTCCTCTGCACGATGACTCGTCGATGAGACCTCTGAGACGCCACCGGAGGACCAGAAACTGCAAGGAGGAGGCACGAAGAGCCCCTGCGTGGCCGGAGAGGTCCTTCGCCGAATCGTTGTGTCCGCGCCGATTAGGCAGCCCTCCTCGATGGGAGAGATGTTGTTGTCGTGGCTTGGAAGATGGGACCGGATACGGCACCTCCACGAACAGTTTTCGCTCTTCCAAGATCGATGGGCGGTGTCCAACCCACATGTCAAGCGCGCGATGCCTAACCCTTCGGTGGTGCCTTTCTTGAAACCCTTGACTTGAAACCCTAGAGGTTACAGGGCACTCTCTCTCGCCACAGCATCATCGTACTCTCCAGCACCGAGGAGACCTTCATATTCGATGTCGCACTTCGTCACGCCTGACGAGCCGCCGTCTGCCTTCCATGTCGAAGTGCGGCCCTCGCTCGGTAAGATGCTGATGGATGGCACTCGTGGATGCAGCTCAGCTGCCTGATCTGATCATACCTGTGCTATGCTGTGGATGCAGGTGGCCGAGTACTGTGTGCTTCCCGGGATCTCGATGAGGGCGAGGTCATCATCTTTGAAGAGGCGTTCCTCTCCTGCACAGGCGGCACAGCGGAGGCACTTGCCTGTGTGGAAGAGCTGAAGCGAGACCAGCCCGGCAGATACGAGCTCTTCCGGCGTCAGTTCCTCGCCCACGACATGGCGGCCGAGTACGGCCAGAAGGCCAAGCCGCAGTCGCTCGCCGACGAGTACATGAGCTCGAGAGAGGGCAGTGAGGAGGATGGCGGGTTGCTCAGCCGGGAGGAGGTGGTGGACGCAATCACTATTTGGGTGAGCGGTGAATCAGGGGCGCAGCGAGCATCAGGGGCGGACAGAGGTGTGTTGTGCTGTGTCGTGCTGTGTTGTCTGACCTCGGTTGTCCAGGACATGAACACGTACATCACGTCTGATTCCAACGACACCCACGCGTTGTTTGACAACATCTCCAAGATCCCACACTCATGCTCGCCCTGTGTGTCCGTCATACCTGACAAAGACAAAGGTCGGTGCGAATGAAATAAAGCAAAAGCACAAGACACACGCAAGCCCTCTGACTCTCGGATCGTGGAAAGCTGGTCCATCTCATAATTTGGATGCAGCTCGTGTCCGCGTCTATCGAGCAGTCAAAGCTGGCGAAATCCTCGGCTCATGGTGCTCATCCGTTCCAACGTGTGGTGTGGGTTTCTCTGTCCATCTCTCTCTCTCTGTGTGTATGTGTGCAGGTATCCTGAAGACGTCGTCGTCTTCTGGATGGACAGCATCGCCAGACGCCGCCACATCCAGCAAGAGCGGGGCTTCCTGTGCAACTGTGATCGATGTGTGAGAGCCCCTGACACGTGCCGCCTGCTGCCATGCCCGGATTCCAATCTGTGCGATGGCACCGTCATCTTCAGCCCCTCCCCTGCACCATCGTGGCGCTGCAACGAATGCGGCCACTCCTTCAGCAACGACGACCCACCCGAGCAGCTGGCAGCCGCACTCGCGAGTGAGTCATCTCTGCGTGAGCGGGTACTGGCCATCCACAGCGATCGGCTCCAACACGGCCGTCTGCCTTCATGTGACGAGCTGGCAGAGCTCAGTGACGACATCGTTGAGGCATTGGGGACCGACCACTGGCTGTTCGGCTACATCAACGCCCTGCTCAGCGAATACTATCAGTCGGCCCGCGCGACAAGCAACGATCCCGGCGAGCAGAGTCTCGCTGCGGCGTACGGCCTGGCCCATCTCGATTGGATAAGACAGCAGCTGGACCGATGGGGCCTCGCTCGTGCGCCCGGCTACGTCATGCGGCCCGTCTTTGAGAGGGGCCTCTTCTGTTGCGAATGGTATCGGGATGCCGTCGAGGCCTTCGTCAACGATCGCACGGTGCTGCTCTTGCGGCTGACGCGCTTCATGCTGACCTTGACAGAGGACAGCTGCTGGAATGACCAAGGCCGCCACGTGCTCGACACCATGAGGGCTTATGTGAATGACACAGAGAGCCGCTGCCACCGGTGCCACGCCGACATGGGTCAGCCTTCGACTGGCTCGGCTGATGCCGATCGTTCGGCATCTGACGATGGGTGGTGCGGCGTGTGTCTGACGGTCCGCTACTGCAGTGATGGGTGTCGCAAGGCCGATTGGGAGTGCCACTCGGCCGTGTGCTGCGACCCGGCCACGCCATTTCTGGACATGGCCGATGAGCTCATGACCGACAGACACACTGACGAGGCAGACGTGTGACTGTACATGTGCGTGTTGGCTTGTTTGATCGATGGGATGGGTATACGTGTGGGTATTTGTTCGGTGTGGCCCCGTATTTTTCTGTTACACATATTCTCCTCGTGTCCTCGAGTGGTTGAAGAAGATGTATGAGTGTTTGTACTGAGTGTTTGTGAGACTCATTGTCTGCAGAGCACTCAATTGCTCACATACAGTTAGTTTTATCATCGGACAAGAAACGCGTCGCGCACATACAGCTCACGCCACGCATCCATCCATCCATGAGACTCATGCGGTCCATCCATCCATCCATGCATTAGCTCAGACCTTTGCCTGTCTGCCAAACAAAGCCTCTGCGCCTCCATACCTATGTCTCGTCTCGTTTCCGGCGGCGGAGTGCGCGTCACTCTGCTATGTCCCCATTCGCCCCTTCAGTCCTGCTGCGACGCCGCGGCCCTGACAGACCCGAAGCCACACCAATACATATGTGTGCGATACGTTTTGGCCGTTGCGCCTGTCTCTCGCCTTAACCAGGTGTAGCGTTTCGCGAGGCTGCTGCTGGTGCTGTTGAGCTGGTGGCAGGGTCCTCGACTGGCGTGGGCTGGGGCACTGGCACGTTCACTGTCCGGCTCCACTGACCCGCCGGGATGGACTGTTCACACACAAAAGCATATATACAGGGGTCGAGTGAACGGATGGATGTGCCTCACTCACCCTTGACACAGCCTTGCCCACGCGCTGTCCGACGACCGCCACGCCCGCAGCCCCCTCCCTCTCCCTCTCCTTCCCATTTCCTTCCTCACCGCCCCCCTGCTGCTGGCGGCTCTCGTCAGCACGCCGGAGACTCCGCAGGTTGTGGTGGGGCGGCAACTGGCGCTCGCCAGTACCGCCATTGGCCACGAAGCCTCCCCCCGCTCTGGCTGATGTGGGTCTGGTCAGTGGCCGCGTGTTGCCCGGCGGGTGGAAGGGCCGTGCAGGGGTCGTGGTGCCGCCGACAGTGGCTGGCGACCCGAGCACGCTGCCTCCCGGGGCCCACGACCTGATCCTGGGCGTCGTGTGGGAGCCTGCAACAAATGCGCAGACAGAGAGATGAGCAGATTGAGATAGCGCTGCTACTAGTGCATCCATCCATCCATACCAGCCGGTGCCCTTGCTGTTGTGCCGATGCGTCCGGGTGAAGGACTGCCCCTGGACGGGTCGGGCGTGGGTGTGGCGGCCATGTCGAGCACGTCTCGGGCGTCCTGTATCCACTGGTTGAGTGTCTGCGATGCGGGGTCCTGCGATGGGTCGAACGTGCGGGGGCTGCTGGTGCTTGGCCACTGAGGGGCCGACGGAAAGTGACTGAACACACAGGAGGGATGGTCTTGCTGTCACGTCTGTCTGTCTGTTTGTCTCTGTGAGTGTACGTGTCTTCTGAGAATCCCGTTGGTTGTGAGAGGACGGGCCGCGTGGCGAGTGAGGGCGGGGGGGTGAATGGGACGGGCGGCGGGGTGGGAGGGGGCGGGGGCTGACGGGGGTACTCACGGAAGCCACCTCCCGTACGCACAACTTTCGGGGGAGGCTGGGCGGGACAAAGACAACCCCACACACCGTTGTAGAAGCTCTGACTGTGTATGGGTGATGTGTGGTGGAGGGCTGCTTACGGGTATCTCGCCTCCCTCCCCGATTCTCTGGTTGCTGAAGCGCCAAAGAATCTCCTCAACGAAGTGCAGAAGCGAGCTGCACACACACACACAGAGACGCAACACACAGCATGCAAAAGGGCCAATGTCTCTCTCTGTTTCTGACCTGAGCATGTGGTTGAGTGTCCTGAGTCTGTTGTCGGTGTTCTGTGCCGCCCCCTCCACGTCGCGCAGCCTCGTCCCCACACCGCTTAGCTGAGACTGACTCTCGGCCTGATAGCGCCACCAAGACAGGATCGATCGCGTGTGTACGTGTGTCTTTTCCGTCTACCTGCGCAGCCGCGATGTTGCCCTCCAAGCCATCCAGGCGGCCTTGAGTCTCCTGAGTGAATGGATCAGTGGATACACAAGCGGCGAACACGTCAGTCGGAGTGATCAATAATTTTAATGGCCGGACCGTTTCGTCTCACCTTATCTCGGTCACCGGCCTCCACGGCGTACGAGTCGAGCTCCTTCTTGTCCGCCTTGGCGACATCGAGCTGCTTGAGAGAGTTCCATATCAGCAGCATGTCCTTCATCAAATCCTTTATCTCACCTGACAAACAATCATTGGCGACAAACACGCATTCTTTCCTCGGTTGCTTGTCGGCTGCTTACTCTCCTTAGCGAATTCCGGTATTGACTCCTTCATGTCAGCGAGAGCCTGTTCTGCGGCGATGAGTCGACCCATGAGTCCCTCCTTTGCCTCGGCCGTCTTGCCGGAGGACGCAGTCACCTCCTGCAGCAACTCGCGGATCTCATCCGTCTCGTTCTTGACATCCTGAACCAACACACACACACAGACAGCCACAGAGTGAAAGTGAGCGAGGGGAGTGACGGAGCCTTGCCTGCAGCGTGGCGAGCTTCTGGTCCCAATTTCTCTCGCGCTCTGAGACACACGGTAAGCAAACAGACAGACAGACAGACAGACAGACAGGAGATCGTGCGTGAATGTGGGCGCATCGGTCGAATGGTTTCTTTGTTTGTTTGTTGTGCCTTCCAGAGATGTGTTCATGCGCTCGAGTGAAACCTTGCTCTTGTCCAAACCGTCCAAACGATCCTGACGGACGAACACACATGCGATCGACGACAGTACGAGACACGCCATCCCATCTCTCTCCCCGTGACTGACCTTAATGTCCTGCATCTGCGGATCGATATTGTCCGCAATGGTCTTCTGCGTCTTCATCAGCTTCTCAGCATAAGACTTGTCCAGCCCATCAGCGTGCGCACCCAGCCGATGTTCCGTCCGCCACCGCGCCAACACGTCCCTTTTCCGGCGGTTGAACAGCCGGTGCAGCAGTGCGATGCCCATGCGCCTCCTGGAGGCCAGCCAGGTGGCCTCTCTCCATCCGTGGAGCATCTTGCGCTTGAACTGGACGTTGGATCGGTCCGTGGAGGCCTTAGCGAGCACTCCCAGGCAGTAGCTGACCATGTTCTGCATGCGGCGCTCCGCCTCGGCGTTCTGCTTCTGGATGGTGTCCTTAAGATTCTTGACCTCTGTGATGTTGAGATTTTCAAGCGTCTTGAGCACCTCGGTCCACAGTCGCTCATACTTCATGTCAACATCGGTCTGAAGCGCCGCTTGCGCGTCAGAGACATCAACCACCTGGACAGAGACACACACGAACACACACACAGAGAGAGAGAGAGTCGAAATGAGCATTTTCTGCTTCCGATCGAGTGTCTTTCGCCTGTCTTCCTACCTTCTGCAGAGCTTTGTCGGCCTTGTCTGCGGTGTCCTTCATCCTTGTCGCCATGTCATTGAACTTCCTCTCGACCGAGTCCATCTTGCCCGCCACCTCCCGCGTCTTGTCCAGCGCCTTGCGCACCTCTCCGCACTGCTCGGCAAACTCCCTGGACCGCTCCTTGAGCTGCACGTCGAACCCATCGACCTTCTCCAAAGCCGCCTTGAGCGACTCATCGTGGCCCTTGAGCTTCTCCACCACTGCACTGGGGTCCAGGTCCTCCAGAGCCCTCACCTTACCCTGCAGCTCATCGATCTGGGCGGTCTTCCTGCCGTTCTCCTCCTCTAAGCCCCGGAGCTTCTCGGCCGCCTCGTCCGACTTGCTGGCGAGCTCCTTGAGTCGGGACTCCAGGTCTGCATTCTGTTCGCTCAGGAGCTTCTGGTTGTTGATGAGCTTGGTCAGCACATCAATGACCTTCGCGGACTCGACCGAGAGGCTGCACAACAGGGAGAGGAGAAAAGCAGATGCTGCGACACCCCCGTGTTGTTCAGTGCAGTTGTGCACGGGTGCGTGTGATGAACTCAAAGCACCTGAAGTCAGAGAGGTCGGGGTGCTCCATCCTGGAGCCTGTGGTCGTGGCTTAATCGTCCAAGGGCCGTCTATCAGTTCCGCGTCTTATGCCCCCACTTGCCCGCCGCGGCGTCTCGCCGTTTGTCGCGGAATCGATGCCAGCTTGCTCCTGCTTGGAAGTGGCTCAGCACATGCGCAGCAGCCTCAACAGCTTTCAACGCGCCGCTTCGATCTGCGCGCTCGGGAGCGAGCAGATCTCTTCCTGAAGACGCGCAAAGAGCCGAAGGTACGAGCCTATCCCACTTCTTACTGTTCAGCACTCACTTCTTTGTGCACGTAGCTGGTTCGTTGATTCATCTAGGCTTCGCTTCTTCCCGCCTCTTGGTGTACGTCGTTCATGGCATCGTCAGCCGCTGACGCGCCGCAGCCACACGAGGCCACGTCGAGTGCTGATGCGGATGTGGAGAGAGTCCAAGCACTCATGACCGCCGCAGGCATACGGGTCGTTGTCTGTGACATCGACTCGACTCTATGGGACGGTGGGTGCAGCGTGATTCAGGCCAGAGCATGTTCCTGCATATGATGCAGGACACTTCCCTGGTGCAGGTAATGCTCACCTGATGCAGGGGACCATTACCCGCCAGAGCGACTTGATGATCAAGGACAGTAGAGGGTAAGGGGAGAGGCGCACTCACATGGACGGCCGGGGAGGCCTTCAAAAATGAGGATTAGTACTGTCGTGGCGTGTGTGCCCCGTTGCAGGAGAGAGCTGGTCATGTTTGCCGAGACGGTGCGGGTCCTGCGTGTGTGTCAAAGTGTGGGCTTCCGTTTGGGCGTGTCGTCACACTGCACGAAGCGCAACGTGGGCCAGCGGGTCATGGACACATTCGGTCTGACGCCTTTCTTCGAAGCCAAGCTGGTCAATATTGACTACCGAGGTCAGCCAGATGATCAAAGACGGACAGCCAATACCGATTCTCACATCTGTGGCGACCTTCCTGTGTCTGTGCGTCTGCCTGTGCAGAGCCTAAGACAACTCACATATCGCGCATCATGAAGGAGGCAAAGGTCAAGAGTCACGAAGTGCTCTTCTTCGACGGTGGGAGAGGAGCACGCAGAGAAGGGCGTGTAGAATAGGCCCTTACTCATGAGCTCTGTGTGTCTGTGTGTGGGTTGCGTGTGTGCAGACATCCAGCAGAACGTCAATGGCGCCGTCAAGAAGCTAGGCATCCACGGCTGCCACGTGCCCGAGGGCATCTCGATGGACAAGCTGCTGGAAGCCCTTCGCAACGCCGGCAAAAGACGACAGCAGTCCGATTCATTCAAGAGCTTCTTCACAAAGGCGCCCGACCCCAATGCGGGAGAAGAAGCTCAACAGCTGAAGCGGCGAAAAGTGGGAGGGGACAAAGCGGCGGGTGCGAGTGAGAGTCCAGTGGTGGTCGACGGGGAGGGGGATGAGTCAGATAAGGGCAAGGGAGGGTGAGTTGACTCATGGTGAGTGTGCCTCGTGCGGCTGCAGAGATGAGTGACACAACAGCGGCAATGTCGCGGTCTCCTTGTGGATAGGATTGGCCCTTTTTGGCTGGGACGAGGGCGTCTTCAATTTTGGCTGTGCATGATTGATGCATTCACAAATTCGTGACTTGACACTCGACCAAACCATGTGCTATCTTACACCATCGTCCACATAAATCCTAAAGCGTATGGTGCGAGCTCTCCTATCGACACAGCCCAGCCCAGCCAAAACACAGTCATAGCCCAGCCTGCCTCCCTGCCCGCCAGTGCACATTTCAGTCAATAAACGGCCGTGACGGCCACATTCACACCGCATCACAGAGTCACAGCAGCCAGGGGATTATGGCTTTTCTGCTTTTCGGATAGTCATCGAACTTCGCTCGGTACCATCCGTGTTGCTGCAGCGCCCGAGGGCCAAGAAAGGACCACGTGTACACCGCAAATGACAAGGCGGGGAGGCTGCCGGCCGCCAGTGCATAGCCACTCCACTCAAGACTCTCGCCAAAGTAGTTGGCGCATGACACATACTCGAACAAGGCTCCAGTGGGCATGGTGTAATGGTCATCAGGCCGGCCCCCTGCTGACGTGGAGGCTTTCCTCAGGTTGATCAGGTGAGCGTCACTCTGGACATTGATGATGAAACCAATGAGAAAGAGAAGAGAGCCCGCCACCAGCAGAATCAGCCGCAAAAGAGCCGCCCCGTCCCCTGAGTCGAAGCGGGCCACATAGCAGAGATGGTGCGCCTGCATGGTCGAGTTGTATGTGCAGAATCCCATCGCCATCAGCACAATCGCCAGAGGTGTCCCCCTTCCCCGTGTGCGCAGCGGATAGACGATGCTCCGATTGATATAGTGAATCAAGAACATCATCAGCAGGAAGCCATTCACCGTCAGCTGCCGGCAGTCGGCCCTCGGGCAGGTCAACGCCACAGAGAGAGCGCCAAGCAGATTAGGCACCTCTAAAAGAAACCAGGCGATTCCCGCTGGCAGCAGAGGTCCCCACCAGGGAGAGATCCGCTCCTTCCTGAGTTTGCCGAACGGGGCTTCGGTGCAGAGGTGTCCCAGTGCCGTGAGAGCTGCCATGATGAACATCCCGATGCAGAGGACGAGGGAGAGGAAGGCATGGTCCATCGCCGGTCACAGTTTGGCGGTCCGGTTCGCTGCCACCTCTACTGGGCAGTGCCGGAGTGGTGCTCAGAGGCCGCCAAGTCTCAGATCACTCGAGAAGAAAGGATCGCCCGCCTCTGCGAGCTAAGAGTGAGCCGTGGAAAAGGGAAGACGCAGGGGACGACACACACACTGCGAGAGTGTTGGCGATGCACATAGCCATGCTTCTCGTCTGTTTCGTCTCCATCCTCCCGGCAGTCTTTTCAGCGTTCATCCCGCCAGCGGTGCGCCGATCACAGATCTCTACTCTCTCCCCCTTGCGGAGGCTAGGCGCCTCGTCCACACGACGATATGCTTCTCTCTTCGACTTCCCACCTGACCTGAACCCTGAGCACCTCCTGCAAGACATCTGGGCCTTCCTCGAGGTGAGACGACAAGCCGACACACGTCTTCACTGTGTGTGCTCTCATGCAATGGTGTGGTTGCAGGTGATCAATCCAGCGGCGAATGAGGACATTCGTCGCGTTGGGGCGTCTGCTGCGTGGGTGGGAGGCTCCGTGGGGGTGGCGGGATCGCTGACGGCCATAATGCTCAAGGCCGAGAAGGTCAAGTCGCGGGACAACTGCGCATTCTGTAAGCAGACAGTCACCAGAAGGGCGCCACAGTGCGAACCATAACACACATTCATCAACAATTGCCTGCTGCTGCCCGCCAGGCAAGGGAAGCGGGGCACTTGTGTGTGGCAACTGCCATGGAAACCGATTCGTCTTGATGAAGGTACGTACGTGGACTCTTTCATTCATCTGTGCGAAGGAACGCGCAACGTGGGAGGGAGACTCATTCATAGGATTCGTGGGTGTGGTGTGCCTTGTGTATGTGTGGCAGAGGGGTGGCGGCAACATAGAGGAGGCGGACGAGGACTGCCGGCGGTACACGTGCCCCACGTGCAACGGATTGGGAATAGTAACTTGCGTCAACTGCCAGGGGGACGGACTTGCCATTCCCCCAGTACTCAACAGAAAGCGATCGAGAGACCCAGAAGGTCAGTCAGTGGGAAAAGCACAAAACATGCGCACCGGTAGATGTCCATAATGGCATGCATGCGTTTCAGGCCCGCTGGAGGACCGTGGCTTGGCATGACTGCCCCAACGATCGACATCGACGAGGCACGGCTTTTTTTCCGGTCATTCGCTAACGAGATAGATGTGTTTGTAGCGTTCGTTGTAATAGGGTCTGGGGGCTGATTGGGATGCGACCTTCTGTCATCCACATGTGTTAAGGTGTTATGGTTCTGACGATTGCTGACAGAGGACATTTTCAGTGTGAAAGACATAAACTGCCAGCTCTCCGTCTGGCCTGATGACGCGTCTGTCTGTGCGTATGCAGCTTTGTCTACCACGCAACAGCTACTGACCGACAGAAAGCACACTCCCTGTCCCCGACCTGTCCCCGACATAGACATACATACGTATACAACACATACTTGACATGCGACAATTATGATGAATGCCTTACTGTCTAGCTGCCAGCACTCATCCTTGTGCGTCACCCAAAGTGCCCACACACTAATCGATCAATCCTCAACCCACAACACACTCTTTCTAGGCTGGCGCATTCATCCATGCGGCATGGGGAGAAGTGGCGGAAGGACTGCATAGGGGCACTCGAGACAGTCGCTTTTACCGCCGGTCAACCTGAGAGCCGATCCACACACATAGAAGCATCTGAGTGACACAGAGTCGATGAGGCGTACCACTTCCCAATCGTATAGAAGGTAGCGCATTGTAACGGAAAGTAGGGCTGATGTGTCCCCAAGAGCTTCAAAAACAGTTCGTAGGTCAGCGAAGTCCCTGCATGCATTGCATGAAGAGGCATGTATGAGCATTCATATGCATGACACAGGTGAATCCCACTTTGCAGCATCACGCCAACTTCGTCCCAACACCTGATGCGTACGCACATAATGGATCCGATAAATAATGAGACACAAGCGGCGTCCATTGCCGGCGCTCACAGTATGCCATTTTGGTCTTGGTCGAGGGCACCAAACCAATCAGTGACCATGCGGCATGCAGAAACGCACTCGTGTCTAGGTTCTTCGTCGACATAAGAGCTGATGCCAAAAGAGTTGACATCTCCGCAGGGCTTGGAATTGAGCCTTCCGAAGAAATCAGTGGGTAAACCGGTCGTCTCCATCCAGCCGTTGTGGCATATCTGTATTGAATGAGCACGAGAGGATGTATCTGAAAGTTGTTCAATGCCTCGCGTACTGGATTTCCTCTGAGGCTGAGATGCTGAAGTTTTGACCTAGTCAGAGACTTGGGCAGCGCGGCTATTCTCCCGTAGCCAAAATCGGCATTCAGCAACTTCGGCATATCCCAAAGGCAGTCCGGAAAGGTTTCAAGGTTGGACCAAATGATGGCGAGGTAAATCAAATTGGACAACAGGCAGACCTCCTCCGGAATTGACGTCAGCTGAGTCCATGTGAGCCCAAAGAACCTCCTGCAGAGCGATGAAACAGAAAGAGTTTTAGACAGACGTATGCACAAATCGATAATTACAGCTTGCTGTACATGAATCGCTGATTGCCAATCGATGGGGGAATGCGGTCCACGTTCTTGACATTTCCCGTCTTCAGAGCGTTAACTAAAGCGGGTGCCCCCTCAAATGTGAGATGAGCCCCCTGTATCGTTGTGTATATCTCGAAGCCTCGGGAAAAGGCCTCGTTCGATATCAGCTGCTCGGTGCGGTCGCCGGAGTAATAACGACTGCAGACACAGACGCGGACGGAGACACAGTGCATGGTTAGGGAATCGCATGTGAGTGAGTGGCTCGAATCATCTTACCAGTTGCATGGCAGAGGCAGTACTCCTCTTTTGCTTTTGTTGACTTGGCTTCGCCGAGGGCCAAATGGTGGATACGTCTTGAGGATACAATGCTCGTACCCGCTCACCTTGGACACTCTGTAGGCCGCGAGAGTCACTCAATGAAAATACAAACGATACACATTGATCACCTCTTCTACCTGTGCCAGCCCTTGCCAGCTGGAAAACGATAAATCCAAAAAAGCTCCAGACGACAATGGCCCAGCAGCAGAGAATGGGGAAGAAAAAGTAGCTTTCCCACCTGTGTGAATGGGAGATGTGGAAAAGTTGGTTGTTTCTTGCCCTATATATAGACCTTTGGTGATTTTGCTACGCACCACTGAATCCTTTCGCCTGTCTTCACGCCTTCCATTTTCGCGCTCATGCCTCTCAACAGTGTCCGCATAAGCTGTTGAGGCGTCCACTGTCGAACAAGCGGCTCTTCGACGTTTTTGGGAGTGTCAACGTCAAAGCTGCCACCCCAGAACAGACGGATGATCACAAGTTTGTCAGATGTGCTGTTTTCCTTACCCCTCATTCGAGAGTTTTTCACTTAGTTTGGCTTCCGCCATTATCAGCTGACTTGGCGGCAACATGCCGACGATGTCGGCATCCACGTTGAGGGCATCGTCTTGGCCCTCATGGTTCCTCTCGACCTCCAAGACACAGCTGTCTACTGTCTCAACGTCACCTGTACAGCCACGGAGAGACGCAGCCTGTGATCGAACCTTCGTTTGGGCAGAATAGGTCGAGCACCGAGTTGTCAGGCGCTCTTCCCGACATGGTGGGCTCTCGTCGTCTTCTGTGTCCTCGTCTTCAATATCCGTGTCTCCTGCTGGCTGGGGGAGCCGAGAGCAGGGAAAGGACAAGCGGCGGGTCTCAAGAAAATATGCCGCCCGATACGTGATCCACCATTCCTTGAGCGTCTCACTCGAGACGAGAGGGCTCTCTTTCAGGCAATGTGCGCTGCCGCTTCTAAGTGGCGCTCCCGATTGACGTTCAGCCGCGCAGGGAAAGCTCAAGCTTCGATATAGTCTTGGAGCAGCCAGCGATTCCGTGTGAGCCGGCTGCTTTCTTTCGCCTCCCTCCTCGCCACGTTGTTGTTGGCAGTCTGCAACGCCGCTTCCATTCTGGTCGCAAGCGATTTTGTCGTCGTGATGACGATTTTTTGTGTCGTCCACGTGGCTGGCCCCGCTTCGCTTGCTGCGAGACATAGCCCGGCTGATTGTGCGAGAAACAGTGGTTGCGCACCAGTGTCGCACTGGCCCGATCATTCGCATCAACCAAGTGGCCGTGTGTTGCTTGACAGAGTCGCCCCTCTTTTGTGATCGGTATGTAACGTACGATCTGACAAGCAGTATCGATCCGAGCTTCCATAGCTTCCACCTGCATCGATGGCGGCCACAAAGGAAAACTAGTGTGTCCACGTACACGTGCACGTGTATACATCCAGGTGTACGACGTACCATGAGCTGCCGGCTGGGTAGAGGGAGGCGAGAGCCAACACGAAACTCTTGTCTGTTTTCAAAAATAATATATTCCCCCAATCCACCGTTGAGCTGGCATTGTGCACATTAAGCAGCCTGGAGACATAACGATACGAAGGCAAGCAGCTGACGAATGCAAAAGTCTGATAAGTGCTCTGCTTTTTACATGTCGTGGAGCGTATAGGCGAGCGAAAAACAGAGCGAAGATAATATGGCCAGCACGCGCCGCCGGCTGCGGTAGATAAAGAGCACAGCAAGTGAGTGGACGGCAATCAGCCCGGCGAGCATCGCTTGGACTAAAAAATGCCCCGCTGGCACCTCATCCAAAGAGACCAAGTCGAAACCACCGAGGTAAAGACATTTGTAGCCTTCCAAAATCAACAAAAGCATCTCGTTTCCAAAGTAAAATAAGAAGAAGGCCTTGCCAGTTGTGCCTAACATCCTGCCAACACACCCACACAAGGCAATTCATCATTGATAAACCAAAGAAAGACATAGGGTGCTCACGTGAACCATGTGATGCTCAACTGCCACCTAAGCCTCTGAAGGCACCAGACCTTGACAGGCGGCTCGGTCAAGTGAGCACTGCCCTTTTGTGGCGACCGCCTCTCCATCAGCGAGCTGCCGCTACGCATGTTGCCGTCCGCAAGTGGGATTTTCCTTCGTGTGCTCCTCAGAATGGCCTTCACACATGTCCTCAGCGCTGATTTGCAACCAACTTCTCGTTTGAAAATCGCTTACTTTTCTCTTTCGATTCAGAATGTAAGCATTGATCTGCGACATATCAAGCAGAGAGTGTCAATTCACGGCTGTAGCAGTGGGGCCCTGGTCTCACCCGCCTTACTCTGCTCTCGATGACAAAGTTCACCTCTTTGCGCCAAAAGAGCGTTTGGGCAACCAGAGTGAAGAGACACAGAAGACTGATAAGGGACCAGAGGCAGCCACGAAGGATTGCCGACGGGTTCGGTTGCTCCACCTATATCGCAAATCAGCCAGACATCTTTGCACAATAAGTACGTGCATCTTGATTACCCATTGAAAGTTACTGGATACATCATAGTTGACAGAGAGGTAGTGATCAAAAGAGGTGAACTTGTCTGTCCCTTGCATGTCCCTGAAAGCAACGGTGAGCATCATACAAAAGATAACCGCTTGAAAAGCGGTCTCCTACCACAACTCGGAAAGCTTCTCGTCCAATTGCTCGGCGACGGCACGCAGGGCACATGCAGCGCCGACCACAGCTAGGAACATCCACGTGATAAGAAGAGCAGCTGAGACGACGTCTGACAGATTTCCTGAATAAAGCTCGAGTCCCACGCTGCTGACAGACGTCCTTTTGCTCGAATCCGTCGTCTCCGTTCGTGCTGTCTTTGCAGAGCATGTGTCACGTCGGAACTTTGCAAAGCCAGCCGGATCAAACCGAATTGCGGACCCATCCGGTACGGTGACGGCCCTTGTTGATGCGGCGTGTGCGCTTTCATCACCCTTGACCTTGAATGCGTCCCCCAATCCTCTCGGCGACACTGGTGTTGGCCCTTTGTGAGCGTGCTGTCTCACTGGAGCCGCCGCCGGGGATCCCTCGGGCTGAACGTCGAAGTGTAGCAGGACAAAACAAATCGGTTCTTCGTGAATGGTCATTGCTTGAAGTTCGCTCACTGATAATTCATCCCCTTGCTCCAGCCGCATGAGATCTCTGACCTGCATGCCAGTAATGAGAAGAAACATGGGTCTTCCTTTGCCGTGTGCAAGAAGCAAGCTGCCAACCATTGTCCGATGGACCCAGCTGTCTTCTTGGCAAACCTGAGTAGTGCTGCAGTTTCCACAGTGGACAGTTGGTGTGTAGAAGACTTACCGTTCCAAAGCGGGCTTCGGACAACATCGTGGTGCTTGTTCGGGACTCGCGAGTTTCACGAGCGTGGCACGCTCTTACGTACGTCCGTAATTGGGGCCAAGCTAGCAATTCCCTTCGGTTCCCTTGTGGGGGCTTGCATGCGAGCTTGGGGGCTTTGCATGCATTGGGGCTTTGCATTTCGTTTCGGGAACGCGAGCGAGTCCCGCCAGCCCGACGGGGAGAAAAGCCCCCGTTCTTGGAGAGAAAACAGGAGAACGGGCTTCGGGGGCCGTGCAGGGCCGGGCTGAGCGCGCAAACAGAATGGCGGCAGCCATGGCTGTGCACGAGAAGGGCCCGTCCATGTGGCCCTGGTGGCGCTGATTGATTCTTGCAATGACATGACGATATGACTGGTTTCGTGGTGCGAGAGACGAAAACAAATACAGTAAATCATGGCGAGAGAAAGAGAAGCAGAGGAGAGACAAGGCAAATGATGAGTGAAAGCATGAATGAGTGACATTATCATGTGCGTGTGAAACACATAAACTCGCAGCTCTCCGTCGCCTGATGACGCAATTGTGATGACGCGTCTGTCTGTGCGTATGCAGCTTTGTCTACCACGCAACAGCTACTGACCGACAGAAAGCACACTCCCTGTCCCCGACATTACGTATACACGACACACACATGACATGCGACCATTGTGATGAATGCCTTACTGTCTAGCTGCCGGCACTCATCCTTGTGCGTCACCCAAAGTGCAATCCACAAACCCACAAATGAAACTCTTTCTAGGCTGGCACATTCATCCCAGCGGCACGGGGAGAAGTGGCAGAAGGACATAGGGGCACTGCTGACAGTTACTCTCACCGCCAGTCATCCTGATAGGATACGGACGGATAGGACTCACATATAGATGGAAATCGTCAGTGCAATCATACCATATTCCAATCGTGTTGAAATTCGCACACTCATAATAGGGCGCGGTCCAAGGCTGATGTGTCTTGAGCAGCTTCAAAAAGCGTTTATATGTCAATGAAGTCCCTGCACACAAAGACCGTACATGTGTGCAGACAATCTAACGATGGATACCAACGGTGCAAGTGTGATCTCACGCTGAAGTATCAAACCGACTTCGTCCCAACACCTGAGGGGCACACACATGATTGCTTGACCCAACGATGAGACACAAGCGGCTTGTATTGCTGGCGCTCACAGTATGCCATTTTGGTCTTGGTCGAGGGCATCAAACCAATCAATGACCACTCGGCATGCAGGAGTGCACTCTGTCCCCGTCAGCTCTTCGCCCACAGAACTTGTGCTTCTGCAAGGCGGTGAAATGAGCCTGTCGAAGAATTCGGCTACGGCACCGGACACCGCGTCCATCCATCCGTTGTGGCATATCTGCATTGAATAAGCACGAGAGGATGTATCTCGGCAAGCTGTTCAATGTCTCCCGTACTGGATTTCCTCTCAGACTGAAATGCTTGAAGGAAGTTGACCCAGCGAGGGAACTGGGCAGCGCGGCTATGTTTCCGTAAGAAAAGTCGGCCTTCTCCAGCCGGGGCATCAGCCAAAGACAGTCCGGAAAAGTCGTCCCATCGAGGTTGGACCAATCGACGGCGAGGTAAACCAGATTAGACAATAAGCAGACTTCTTTGGGAATGGATGTCAACTGGGACCACGTGAGCACCAGGAAAACCCTGCAGCCCAGGCAGAGATTAGGCAGATGTACGCATGAATTGGTAATTACAGCTTGCTGTACATGAATCGCTGATTGCCGATCGATGGGGGTATGCGGTCCACGTTCTCGACATCTCCCGTCTGCAGAGCGTTAACTAAAGCGGGTGCCCCCTCAAATGTCAGGTCAGCGCCCTGGATCGTCGTGTATGTCTCGAAGCCTCTAGCAAAAGCTTCGTTCGATATCAGCTGCTCTCTGCGATCGCCCGAGTAGTAGCGGCTACAGACACACACGCGGACGGAGACAGTGTGCGCGTCCACGGGATCGCACGTCAATGATTGGCTCTGTCCCACCAGTTGCATGGCAGAGGTACTCCTCTTTTGTTTTTGTTGACCTGGCTTCTCCGGGGGCCAAATGGTGGATACGTCTTGAGGATACAATGCTCGTACCCGCTCACCTTGGAGCATTCTGCCCCGAGAGTCACTCAATGAGAATACATACGATACAAATTGGTCACACTGTACCTGTGCCAGCCCTTGCGAGTTGGAAAAGGAGAAAGCCAAGGGAGGTCCACGTAACAACGGCCCAGCAGCAGAGGATTGGAAAGAGTACATTCCTCTCATACCTTCGTCAAATGGGACACGTAGAGCAGTAATCAGGTTTTTTCCATCTTCTGTGACCCTTCGGGTGATCTTCTTACGGACCACCGAATCCTTTCGTTTGTCTTCATGCTTTCCATTTTGGCGGCCAGGCCCCTCAACAGTACCGGCGTAAGCTTTTGAGGCGTCCACTGTCGAACAAGCTGCTCCTCGACGTTCTTGGGAGTGTCAATGTCAAAGCTGCCACCCCAGACCAGACGGATGATCACAAGTCTTTCAGATGTGCTGTTTTCCTTACCCCTCACTCGAGAGTTTTTCACTTAGTTTGGCTTCCGCCATTATCAGCTGACTTGGCGGCAACATGCCGACGATGTCAGCATCCACGTTGAGGGCATCGTCTTGGCCCTCATGGTTACTCTCGACCTCCAAGACACAGCTGTCTACTGTCTCAACGTCACCCGCACAGCCACGGAGAGACGCAGCCTGTGACCGAACCTTCGTTTGGGCACAATAGGTCGAGCACCGAGCTGTCAGACATCCTGCCCTCTCCTTGACAATGTCTTCTGTATCCTCGTCTTCTTCAATATCCGTGTCGCCCGCTGGCTGTGGGGGCCGAGAGCAGGGAAAGGACAAGCGGCGGGTCTCAGGCAAATAAGCCGCCCGATACGTGATCCACCATTCCTTGAGCGTCTCAGTCGAGACGAGAGGGCTCTCCTTTAGGCAGTGTGCCCTGCCGCTTCTGAGTGGAGCTCCCGATTGACGTTCAGCCACGCAGGGAAAGCTCAAGCTTCGATATAGTCTTGGAGCAGCAATCGATCCCGTGTGAGCCGGCTGTTCTTTCGCCTCCCTCCTCGCCACGTTGTTGTTGGCAGTCGGCCACGCCGCCTCCATTCTGGTCGCAAGCGATTTTGTCGTCGTGATGACGATTCTGTGCGTCGTCCATGTGGCTGGCCCCGCTTCGCTTGCTGCGAGACATAGCCCGGCTGATTGTGCGCGAAACAGTGGTTGCGCACCAGTGTCGCACCGGCCCGATCATTCGCATCAACCAAGTGGCCGTGTGTTGCTTGACAGAGTCGCCCCTCTTTTGTGATCGGTACGTGACGTACGACCTGACAAGCAGTATCGATCCGAGCTTCCATAGCTTCCACCTGCATCGATGGCGGCCACAAAGGAAAACTAGTGTGTCCACGTACACGGATTTGCTGTACTCGGTACCATGCGCTGCCGCTGGGGTAGAGAGCCGCCAAGGCCAGGACGACACCTTTCTTTGTCTTCATGTGTAATAGATTCCCCCAATCCACCGTGGAGCTGGCATTGTGCACGTTAAGCAGTCTAAAGACACAAGGATCGATGAGCGCACATGATTATTTATCTTTCCATACATGTCGTGGAGCCCATAGGCGATTGAGAATGGAAGCGACAAGAAAATTGCCAGGACACGCCGCCGGCTGCGGTAGATGAGGAGCACAATCAGTGAGTGGACGGCGATTAGCCCGGCGAGCGTCGCTTTGACCAGAATGCCCCGCTGGCACCTCGTCAAAAGAGATCAAGTCAAAACCCCCTAGGTAAAGGCAATCGTAACCTTGCAAAACTAGCATGAGCATCTCCTGAAGAGAAGCAAAAGTAGGCCGATAACAAAGCAAGTGAGAAACGAGATTTCTTCTCCTACATTGTTGAAGTAGAAGAAAAAGAAGGCCTTGCCAGTCGTCCCTAACATCCTGCCAAGACAGACCCACACACATAATGTATCATAGATGAGTCCAGGAGGAGACATCGAATGCTTACGTGAACCACGCGATACTGAATCGCCACCTAAGTCTCTGGAAGCAAGAGATCCTGACAGGGTCCTTGGTCAAGTGAGCATTGCCCTTCTTTGGCGACCGCCTCTCCATCAGCGAGCTGCCACTATGCATGTTTGCGTCCTCGGCAAGAGGGATTCTCCTTTGTGTGCTCCGCAGAATGGCTTTCCGCTGCCGATTCAGGACGTAAGCATTGATCTGCAACAATCAGCGCAGAAAATAATAGTCGCAGTGGGGCCCTCGCTCTCACCCGCCTTACTCTGCTCTCGATGGCGATGGCAACCTGCTTGCGCCAGAAGAGCGTTTGGGAAACCAGAGTGAAAAAACACAGAAAACTAAGAATTGACCACACCGAGCCACGCAGGATTGCCGGCCAATCCGGCTGCTCTATCCAGCGATAGTTGTTGGAAACATCATAGTATTTGGATAGGTATCGTTCTATGGAAAAGAACAAGTTTCCGCCTCGCTTGTCCCACAACTCGGGCAGCTTTTCTTCAATCTGCTCCACCACGATGCCGACGATAGCCAGGAACGTCCATGTCATAAGAAGAGCAGCTGAGACGACGTCTGACAGATTTCCTGAATAAAGCTCGAGTCCCACGCTGCTGACAGACGTCCTCTTGCTCGAGTCCGTCGTCTCCGTTCGTGCGGTCTTTGGAGAGCATGTGTCATTCGCGGGAGGCTTTGCAAAGCCCGCCAAATCAAATCGCACTGCTGATCCACTCGGTACGGGGACGGCTTTTGTTGATGCAGCGTGTGCGCCTTCATGACCCTTGACCTTGACAACGGGCGATAGTGATGTCGGCTCCTCGTCAGCTTGTTGTCTCACAGCACTCTCGAAGGATTCCTGGCGCTAAAACCGAAGTAGTGTAGCAGGACAAAGCAAGTCTGTTGGTCATCCTTGGCTTACTGAGTAGTCATCTTGCTCCAGCCGCATGATGTCTCTGACCTGAAGGCATGTCAGGAGGAGGAAAGAAAAGTCTTTGGCAAGTGACACTCCCACGACCAATCGTGTATCGACCATTTTGCGATGGATCTTCTCATCACGGTTGAGTTCATCATTTTCATCGGATTCTATCCAAACCTGCGTTGAGCACCAAGACGAGTACAACAAGCATCCCGCCCACTGAGGAAAACGCGGCCTTCCTTCGGAACCTTTTCAGAACGAGCCCGACGTTTGTGCACAGGAGTGGTGGCGTCGTTGACGTTCCGGCGTCGTTCAAAATGGCGCGAAGCCATTGCCCGGAAGTGGGGGCTCATGGGGGTAGCTCGCAGGCTCAGGGCGAGGAGAGGGTGATGAATTAATCGAAGCCAACCGAATCTACAAGAGTCTCTGGTCCAGTTCGAACGATGCAGCAGCCGCCGAACGCGCATGAGGAGGCGTCAAAAGCAACGCCAGAACGGAATCCGATGAGTAAGGTAACTCCGCTGTACCATCTCCTCTGGCTTCATACCCTCAACACGCTGCTTCATGATTTGTCATTCAGGCAAAAACATCCCCAACGAACAAAGGTTCGACGGCCGGGCAGTGCGAACCTCCCAATTTGCACGTACAGCACTCCCCCACGACCCCCGCCGGTCCAACCAGGCGCAGGAGATTGCTGACGGCACCTGTCGGCAGACCCCATACAAGCCCGCCGACCGCTGCCCCAAGCGGGCCGCAGTAAGTCAACAAACGAATTCGGGCTGCATGCGTTCGTGCGCCGCTATCCTCTCTGTCTCTGTCCGTAAAGGTACACATTGATTTATTTGGGAGAAAGACACAAAGAGGTCGTCTGATCGATCACTGCTGTCTTGTGGGGCCTTAGACTGACTGTGTGTGCTGTTGTTGTGGCCAGATTATGCCATTCGGTATCCAAAATGAGGTAGAGTTGGTAAGAGCCGCCTGTCTGCGGATTCTTAAAGAGAGGGGACTCCCGGAATCAGTGTCGTTCACCCTCAAGGTAGCCAGCTGCTGCAGGAAACACATCGCATGTCGCCGATATATCTGCTCAGATGGAGGGCGAGACATTGGCCACGCCGGTCGACCCGGAGATCTTTATTTTCGAGCCCCAAAAGGCCTACGTGCTCGAGCTGGTGCAGGAGAGCCCTCGGCTCGCTCATAAAAGAAGAGAGCTGAGCAAATTTTGGGGCGGTAGCCCGTCTGTGATATCGGAAAGGGGCCAGGCGAGATGGAAATTGCTCAAACAGAGACTCAAGGTGAGTGAGTGAGCGCCAGAGGGAGTGGCACGGGCCGGCTGTGGGGCGATGAATGACATTCGTTATCTGCAGGAGCGGAAACAGGGTATCTTTGTGAACAGTGACCCAAGAGGATCGATTCCATTTTACAAGAAGATTGCCTACGGTAGGGTGTACCGCCGGCGATGAGACATGTGTGAGTGTGACGGCCGTCATTCTCTCTCCAGGTTTGCCCGAGCTGGCAAAGACCGGTCCAGTCAACCTGCTGGTTGTGTAAGCAGCTCTCGTGTTTGACCTTCCACATACACACATCCACAAATGATACCCGTTTCTTGTATGCGCGTTGGTATTCGCCTGCCGTTCTCGTCTCCCCACCAGAGTTCACATGTTGACTCGATACGAAAAACTGGGGGTACGCACACACACATGTTCGTCTGTAAATTGATAATATGATGTCTCACCACATCCCAGGCGACATTGGCCATCCTGGCTTTCTTTGTGGCTGCTGGGCGATCAATCGACGTGCTCACCGACCCATTAATGGTGCGCAGGGTACAAGCCATGAATGCGATGCCGTTATACGCGTGATTGTGTGTCAGGCGAGCATTACTGATTCTGCTCACACTCGTTGGGGTCGCAGGAGGCCCTTCATGTTTGTGGGCTGCTTCTTCTATGCGTTGCTGCTGTCCCTGCTCTGCACGCCGTGGTCGACACTCATTGACAGACCGGAAATCGGTCGGAGCGGCATACGCTCAGCCAGCACACAGACAGACAGGCAAAGAGGCCATCGATTTGTTTCAGGCCTCTGGTTTGGCGTTTTGTACATATTGTTTTTCCTTGCTGACACGCTGACGAACGTCCCACACAACGCTCTGGGGCAGGAAATCACGACCAGGTCAGTTAATCGAAACACCAATGACGCAGCAAAAGCGTTGGGAGGCGGAAAGTGTCTTTGCTCTGTCTCGTGCACTCAGTCAGCGTGCCCGTCGCGAGCTGTTTTTTGTCAACAAGGCATTCGCCATGATCGGTAATGAATCGGGCATGTGGTTTGTGCTGAGACATTTGCCCGTGTCTGGGTGGGTTTATTACATCAATCAATCACTCAGGAATGCTGGGTGCCGCTGTGCTGCCGGTGGTGGCCGAGATAGCTGTCAAGCGGGCCAGACCATGTGATGTCTCAGGTCGGTGGGCGATTGATGCATTCCCCGGTCCACCCGCAATCTGCCGCGCTATGTTTGTCGGTGTGTTTGTGTCTAGAGTGTGATGAGGAGTTTTTCCAGGCTGCGTCCAACGGCTCAGCCGTGCAGAGGAGTGCTCAGGAAGACTGCGAACTGGAAGAGTACCAAGACAATTGCCTCCAGGTATATCTGCGTGCCCGACCTTCTACTTCTGTCCATGCCGTGATTGGTTTGTGTCTGTGTCTGTTCGTGCGTGCGTGTGTGATGTCAGCAAGACATCTGGCTGTCGTTCTCCATTGTGGGCATCAGCTTCTCAGTCTACTTCCTTTGTGCGATGGTCAGGGAGCCTACAAACACATACACACATACATATACACACGGAGGGGTTGTCAGCTTGTTTGTCTGCGTGTGCAGCTGCTATGTGTGTACCTTTTGAGAGAAAATCCAGAGGGGGAAGAGGAATACAGGTAGGCACACACACAGATAATATGGATGACCGACGAACGAACGAACGAAGGAACAATCACCAAGTAAATGGTGCATGTCTCACGGTACATGATACTACAGATTCAAGACTGTCAAGGGGTTCGCCAACCCAAAGCAGGTCAGGAAGTCACAGTCGGCCCATCTCCTCGGCAACACCGCCACTGGTCCCGAAACCCGGGAGACCCCATCGCGTGCAATCACCGCCATCGTCGATGCTGATGCCGCTGTCCATCTAGACGGGGTTTTGGAAGAGCGCATTTCCCTCACCGTCAGCGAAGCCGCCAAGTGAGAAAAAAGACACACAGACAGACAGACAGACAGACACAGATCATCCCTTGTGTGTGTCTGGTCGGTGTGTGACAGACTCGACGACGTTCCAAGTGCGGGGATGCAGCCAGTCGGGGACACGTCAATAGTGCCCGGGCAGCGCAGCATCAGTGACAAGCCGCCCCAGCAGCAGAGCAAGCCGATGGTCATGTGGGACGAGGGCTTCAAGGACCAGAAGGAGCGCCCGTCTCCCGAACATGCTGGTGCTGGAGATAAGGTCTCCGCGCCTCGCATGAGCAAGATCGACATTATTGTGCCGACCCTATTAGGAGTGCTCGAGAACCGACCTTTCAGGTCGCACAGTGAGTGGGTGTGTCCCCTTCTCTGCTTGCTTCACTTGCTCTCTGTGTGACTGACTGACTGATTGACTGACTGACTGTGGGCAGGACAATGATCATCCCGTGGGTGTTGGACACGACTCTGCTATCTCTGTTGGCGACCATGATGCCCTACTTCGCTGTCCATGTGGTGTGCGAGGACTACGACCCCACCGACGAACGAACCATCGACGACGAAAAGGAATGCGACTCGCAAATACTCCTTGGTACAAAGACAGATACCATCCAATTTGGTGCCCTCTCTCCCCTCAAGCATCAATGCCGTCGGTTATGTGTGTCTCGATAGGTATGGCGCTGTGCTCCCTCCTCCTTGGTGCATTAATCGCTATGCCACTCTGGTCGGCTCGGTCACTCACTCCACGCTGCAATCTCCTTGTTGCCCAGCCGCCAACACACTGCACTCAATGAATGGATGCAGGCATTTGATCGCCCGGCGCTTCGGCGACATCACAGCATGGCAGGTAAACAAAGGATGGTACGATTTATGGATATCTATCTATCTATCTATCATACTACCGCACTGGTGCACTCAGGCAACAAACCTGCTGAATGCGCTGGTAGCTACGACTTGTTGGTTGCAACCAACAGGCTTCTGACACATTCACGTGTGCGTGACTGACTGATCTAATGTATGTCAGACCAACGGCCTGCTCATCTTCGTCGGCAGCGGGGACCAATGGCTCACTGTCGGTGAGCGAGTATGGCAGGGCAGGGAGCGCAGTGTACAGATAGACAGACGGGTTGCTTGGATGTATATCATTTCATCACGTAGGCATATCGCTGATCAACGGCTTCCCCATCGGGGCCGTCTTCCTCACCGATAACATTCTCGGGCTCACCATCGACTACGATGAACTCCGGTCAGCACATACACACACACGCCAGCAACACCCACACGTCTCCTTACATCTGCATGGACGTGCATGCAGGGCGGGTGTTCGCAACGAGGCGTCGTTCACGATGTTCAGCTCATTCGTGCCCAAGATCGTCGCCGTTCCCGCACAGGCATTCCCAATAGCTGTCATCGCCGCCGCAGGATTCAAGGCCTCAAAGGTGCAGGCACGCACCATGTTTGTGTGTCGTGTTTGGTCGACGTATGTGTGTCATCTATCCATCCACCCATCAGGACGGCGTCTCCCAGGAGCAGAGTGCTTGGGTGGTATTTCTGATCCGTGCCTTCTTCGTCTACATCCCCACAGTGCTGGCACTTGTCTCATTCGCCGTCAAATACTACACATGGCCATTCAGGTGACTTAACCACCCACCCCAAGGATTCACATACACATATACACGGGAGAGGAGAACAAGGTGCTTGGGTCGATAGGAATGCGGAGGAAGCCGACCGTAAGATCAAGAAGGCGCTGCAGCAGTTCCTGCTCGGCAAGCCATTCGAAGACCCCCTTACCGGCCTATTCAGAATGCCATTCAAAGCATTCACACCACAGTGAGCAGATCAGTGCAGACAGGACACGGCATGTCGTGTGGTGTGTTCTTGTGTGTGGGGGACAGGGAGCACTACTGGCGCACTCTGCTGGACCACTTCCCTGGTCCCCGGCCGCTCGAGAGCCTTCTGGACGAAACCAAGGGCGAGAGGGCACACGCACTCATACGCAGAAGCACCGTCCGTAACAACACAAACAGAAACACACTCCCACACGGCCACACACACTGTGTGCGGTCTGTCTCTCTGCTTCTCTGCAGCGTCGCGCGTGGATATTTCTGTGCAGTGCGGTGGTCGCGTACATATGCACAGCAGTATCGTTTCCCCTGGTGGACGAGGGCGGCCTCAGCTGGATCCCCGCCATATTCGTCATCGGAGGTGGCATGATGGTGCTGGGAACCATCTTCAACATACTCGCCAGAAGAGCCGCAGTCAAACTCGCACACGAGGATGTCGACGAGGTCTTCCTCATGAGGTAGGTTGGACTTCATCGGGTGTGGTGTACTCGCCGCGTGTCGTGTGCATATGGATCGGTGTGGCTCTTATGTGCGTCATGGATGGCCATGCAGGTTGTTGGCGTATCGGCAGGGCAAGGACGAGTACAACAGGAAGGATTTGAAGCTCCTCACCAGCACCATCAAGAAACTCTCCAGCAAGGTACGCCCCCTCTCACGTCTCCCTCTGTGCCTCGTCAATATGCACATGGGCATGCGTGTCTCTCTGTTTCAGGTTGGCAATCTGGTGGAGCTGACGCCCACCGACAGTGGTGCGGCCACCCCGCTGCCTTCGGACCAACCGTCCATCCACATAAAGCTGGCCTTCCCCCGGCTACCCACCGCCATCCACGAGGCCACCAGCGCGTCCATCGCACTGCCCACCATCCCCGCCGGGCAGAGCCCATCGCCCGTGTCTTCGCGGCGTGGATCACCACCTGGCGGCGTCGGAAACTGGGACAGGGTGAAGCAGCAGATGGCGATCGGCGGAGGGCACAAGTCTCCCAACTCGGAAGCCACCGCGGCCTCGCCAACGAATGCGTCGATAGAGATGGTGGAAGTAGAGAAAGAGGTGAGTACTCGGACAGGGAGGGCGAGACAGACACAACACACGGCAATATATGGATGGACCCGTGTCCGTGTGTGTGTGTGTGTGTGTGTGTAGCTCTTGTATCGCCTGCAAGAGCTCTTGTGTCTGAGCAAGGCGCCCCGGCTGGAGGGTCCACCGCTGCCCGCCGTCATGGTGGAGGCCGTCATACATGAGGACACCATCAACGCAGCAAAGGGGCAGCTGGAAACCAGGGACATCAGAGGCGTCTGCAAAGTGAGTGAGACGAAAGGAAGACGTGATGCCCATGGGCTGCTCGCTCTCATCCTTGTCTGTCTGTGTGGACTGGACGCCGTTCATTAGGAGGTGCTGGATCTGTTGCAAAACCCCAACAGCCCCCTCCGAGCCGACCAGTCCCTCGCCGCTCTCATGGAGGACACTCTATTCGCCATCGACTGCAGAATCGCTCACGACGATCCCCAGCCAAGCTTCCTGTCGATGCCTCCCCTGGCGTTGCCTCGCGAGGCCGCCGCTCCTCCAGCTGCCAATTGCAAGGACGACGGATCCACCGATGGGAATGGGACGGTCGGCCAGCTCGCCAAGGGCGGGTCGACCACCGAGGCTGGCGAGAGCTGTCAAGGAGACACAGCCAACCCTGGCGTGAGGCATCTCAGCAGAGAAAACTCTCCAGGCAAGCGAGACACGACAGGCACATGGCGCGACCAACACACATGAATCGGCACCGCACCTGTGTGTGCGTTTGCCGTGTTCGTTCCAGAGTGTGCCTTTCTGCCCCACCAAGTAGAAGAAGGTGTGCACCAGACGCCCAAGGGCCACGTTCATGCGCATCGCCCTGGCCAGTCGTCCAAGCGGCGATACGAGGTGACGGTCAGCAGCGAACACGACGGTGACAACCACAGCCCTCATGGTGATGTTGCGGGCCAGCCCAGTGGCACTGGCACTGTGGATGTGGCCCTCTCGTCATCGGTAGCAGAATGAACGAATGAGCATCGTGTCACTTACAAAGTGTGTGTCTCGGTGAGTGTGTCGGCTATGTGTGAATGCATGTGCGTTGGATTGATGGATGGATGGATGGCTGGGTGGGGCCTGGGCTGCGTGTGCGTGTCTCCCTCCCTCCGCCTTCTCCCTCCATCCCTCTTTCCGTTCCTCCGTTCCTCCGTCCTTCGTACCTTCTGTGTCTGTCTGTCTGTGTCTTTCTTGTTTCATACACAAGTCAGAGCAAGCATACGTTGCGGCCAGCACAGCACACACAGAGATGTTGCAGGTGCAGGGGCTGGCTCTTTCAAGCGCCAGGAGCACCCACTCAGCTACAGGGGTGGCCGTACATTTTTTGTTGTGTCGATTCATGTGTCACGTTCGTCGCCTGTGTTAGCACGTCCTGGTGAGACGAGTTTCTGGGGTAGGTATATGAAGGTTTGAAGGGTTTGGACTCGTGTTTCCATGCACACACACATTCGTGGTATTGTATCAAGTATGCGCGGTCCCTCACACCACACACCCAAAAGACGCATACACACGTGGAGACCGCAAGAATGGAAAAACCACACACCCAGCGAGATGGATATAAACACAGCGATTCCCTCGTATGCACACCAACATGGTCAGTCTTCTTTCATCTCCCTCACCCCTGGGCCCTGGTCTTACTGCCCTCCCCCTCCCCCTCCGGCAATATTTCATACCACCTCGGCTGAGACACCAGGCTATCCCCTAGACACTCGCTAAACACCTGCGCCACGGCCGACACGGAAAGGTGTGTCTGCGGGCGGTGTCTGGTGATGAGCTGCAGGGTGAGGGAGGCCGTACTCGGACTGGGATCGTCTTCTGACGTTGAGGAGGGCTCGGCAGCTACCAGCTTCACCAACGCCGGGGGTGAGTCACGGGTAGCAACATCCTGCGGGCAGCAAATGGGCAATGGAATCACACATGACGACTGGCTCTTCACGCCCACCTGTGTAAACGTGTCGATCTTCTCCTGCAGCACTGTCCGCCCGCTTTCCCCTTCCCACTCGCCTCTAGCCACCTCAAACCTCACAAACCGATGCACAAACTCCACATGACGCGACCCCACCTCCACCCTGCTTGAGGGCAGCGGGAGGCTCTCCGTCTGGCTGCAGGCATCGAGCTGCCTGTGCAGCGACGTGCCGTCCTTGGGACGAGGGCTGGTGGAAGGTGCGATGGGTGGGGGATAGGTCAACGGGGGCGGAGGGGCGTTGGCGTTGGCGGGGACCAGGAGGGCGAAGCTCTTCATGCCGCCGCCCCACAGCTGGTCGACTCGGAGAGATGGGAAGCCATGCATCGGGACCTCGGTGGGCCTCACGCGGGACCTGATGTCGTCTCTGCCCAGCTCGCCATTGCGACCTGAAAATCCACATTCAGATCCATAATGTTGCAGGTCATTCATTATCTGTGCATCTCTCACCCATCCCGCATGCAAGTGCTCGTCCGTCGGATGTCAGGAACAGCGAGTGGCTCCAACACGCAACCACCTGGGCCATCGTGTGTGCCGCCCGGTGCGTGTCCTCCCCCCTTTCCCTCTTGGCGGTGTCGCTCGTGAGCGGCCTGGGCAGCTGGGGTGAATTGCGAGTGCTGGGCGGGCGAGAGAGGGAGAAGGGTGAGGGGGGTCGGGAGGAGGTGACGAAGCTCTCGATGCGCAGAGGGTAGCACAGGTTCTCTGTGTTGCCGCTGCCACACTGGCCGTGCTGATTGTATCCGCATGCGTAGACGTCACCGTCAGCTGTCAGCATGAGAGTGTGCCGCCCACCGCCAGACACAGACACCACTACAGGCGCCTCCTGATGACACACACACGACAGACAGACAATCCATTTCTCCACCACACAACAAACCCACACAGGCCCCAAGCGTACCTCTCTGACGGTGGCCCTGCCCTTGACAGACCGCAACGACGCCCCCCTGCCCCTCTCGCCCCTCCTCTCCCTCACCGGGTCCAGGAAGGCCTCCACACGCACCGGCGACGCACGATGACGGAAATCGCCCAATCCCAGCTCCCCATACTCACCCGCCCCCCAGCTGTAGACCCGGCCCTCGGCGTCTATCGCTAGAGTGTGGAAGGCGCCGCACGATATGCTGCGGATGCAGATGCCCGAAGATGCCAGGGCCTGATGGATGGACAGAGAGAGGGATGTATGGAGATGGTGGGTGCATCGGGGCGTGAGTGTCTTCTCGTGTGTGTGGTTTCGTGGTTACTTGTATGGGTGTAGGCGTGTGTGTGGGTTTGGTGTGACTGTTGTGGCCACACTGCCCGTAGTTGAGGGAACCGTTGCGCGTGCACCCCCAGGACCACACCTGCACACATAGGCGTCCAGTCATGCGAACGAAGCATCGACCGACACTGTCTCTTTCTGTGTCCGTACCTACCTTTCCATTCTCAGCGAGTGCCACCGAGTGTGCGTCGCCACAGGCAATCGATGCTACGGCTATCGACTGGCACAAACAAGGGGCAGAATGAACTTCAGGTTCCGCTTGTCCATTTTCTCCGACCCGACCTGGTCGGCCAGAGTGGTGACCAGTGTGGGCTGCGAGCAGCCGTCATATCGGGGCGACAGACGCACTGAATGAAACACAGACAGACCAGCAAGAAAAAAAAAGATGCATATATAGGCCGTTCTCTCCTGGCGACCCACCGGGGTGGCCCAGTTTGGCGTTTGAATTGCTGCCCCAGGTGAAGACCTTGCCGCCCTCTGTCAACGCTCTGCACACACACACAAGGAAAACCGCAACAGGACATGACAGGACACGATGAGTGCACTCATGACATGGAGAGGGCAAGCGGGGCCCACCCCACTGACGTCCCGCCCAGTCGCGTGCCTACAGTGTATGGTAGTCGGAGCATGCGACTTGCTTGACGAGCAATCGGCCGGTGGCCACCGAGCTCGAGCCCGGCTCAGTCAGCCAGACCTGAGTGAAGTGCGTGACCTGCTGGTGCTCCCTCACACCCAGCTGACCTGCATGCCATGCACCAACACGGACGGCCACACAGGAGACCACCAACACAGACACGTGCAGATGAGCTCGGATGATTGCAGTCGTTGTAATCTTCCCTCTTCAATGACGTGTGTACCGTAGATGCCCTTCCCGCACGCCCAGAGGCTCCCATCAGCCATCGCCACACACACATGGCACCGCCCAGCAGCGACGCTCTTGGGCCCTCCAGAGCCTTGTTGATCATTGCCGCATGGCGGCAGCTGCACCTCCTGGATGCCTCTGCTGCCGGTGCTGCCTTTGTGGTGCCTTGCAGAGCTGGATGCTGCGCCATGAGTGGTCTGAGTCAACCTTGGCGCGGGTTCTGTAGACGATCTTGCCGCCGGCACTTCGCTGCTGTTGTTGGCGCCCCAAGCCACAAGCCGAAAGTCCACTCGAAAGTCCATCGGACCGAGCAGGTAGGGTTTGTAAACCCTTGACCCTGGTCCTTGGGGCCTTCTCCCCCTCCCCCCCCTCACAAGTGACCGACAGCAGAACGGACCATTCTGCGTTTTTAGTTGTCCGTGCAGCCCACCCCCACCGATGGCGGAGAGGCGACGTTCCTCACGTCGTCAGACCTTGGCGGTCGCCTCACAGCTCAGCGGCAGAGTTAGCCTGACTGATCTCAACAGTCTTCTTCATCGTGCGTGGAGAAATGGGCCAGGAAAAGGGGACAGCAAACCCGCTGACGGCTCGGTAAGCACATCCTCCCGTACACGCCTTCCGGTACATTCCTGGCACTTCAATGACAGAAACCAGCCTCCCCGACCTCTGTGGAGCATCACAGTCGCAAGTCCTCAGTAGAGCCCATCACGAGCCCTGACGTGGTCATGCCAGTGAGTGAAAACTGTCATTAACCGTAACACTCGTCTGTGTGTCCGTGATACTCATACAAATACAGTCCCATCAGCACGCAGACTCAAACAGGCTCAAGGGGAGGAGGGATCAATCCCCGCCCCATCAGCACACCCCAGTCCCGCAAACCCTCCCCTCCCTCCCCCACGCAGACAGAAGCTAGTCGCACGCGCGAGGGCGATAGACAAGCGAGAGCGAATCCATCCAGACACATGACTGAACCCCCGACCCTTCCACCCCTCCTTCTCCAACAGCGCATGAGCCATGTGGGCGATGAACACGTTGGCATCGTGTCCCCACACACCGTCACACGTCACCACCAGAGGGCAGAAGGTCACGCGGGAGTTGCAGAC